GCAACAGCCATCAAGTTCAATGCTTCCTCTGAGGTGTTGGCTATGGCCTCTGATGAAAAGGATAATGCATTGAGATTGGTGAGTGTTCAGAACAGACTAAGTAATATTTGAAGATTTCTGTCTTCTGGGTTGTTGCGCTGTGTAGTCTGGTTGATGTTAACCAACGTTTCAGAGGTCATACTGCCTCCGTCATCCTCTCCTCAAAAACCGGCTACATGGATCGGATAGTCAGGGAAGCCATCGAGATCGAATTACATCCTGATAACTTTAACAGGGAAGATGGACTTCACCATTTGTCCACTCCCACACCTGCTCCCATTGGCTCGGGGCAAGCTACACCTTTGACTTTCCGGCCCTATAAACCTAGCCCCACACACCCTATTGGCATATTCATCGCCCTGATGACGGAGACAGTATGACCTCTGAAACGTTGGTTAACATCGACCAGACTACACAGCGCAACAACCCAGATGACAGAAATCTTCATACTCACCGCTGTGAAAACCTCAAATCTTACATAAGTAATATCTCTTTTGTCCTAATGTATCACGTTTAAAGCATATACTTGGACATTGTACAAGTACTATTATGCATATTATGTTTTTCTGTTGTTATTAATGTGCTTTTCATCCCCCCCCCCGCCCCCCCAACCCACACAAATTCAAATTATTAACAAGGTTGTATTCCAGTACACATTTTGATCAGTTTCTTGTAGAGAACTGTTAATATCAGATGTGTGTGATGCTTACAGGTGCATTTCCCCAGCATGACTGTTTTCTCCAACTTTCCGGGTTCGGTGCAGTCTGTCCTTGCGCGGCCTCAGTGCCTTGCCTTCTCTCCTGGTAGTGGTTACCTTGCTATTGGTAATAATAAGAGTACAGCTCTACTGTACAGGTAAGGATTATTTGTACACAAATCTGAGTTAAACAATATATAGAAATGTTTTAGGTTTGCCCTACTGAACTGTGGCATGTTGTTAGTGTTAAACTTTCAGTTTGACTTAATATCACATTTATCCAATTACATGCTTCATTCTTCTAAAATGTTTGCATAAATGATGGATATGCATTACATGCAAGGATTAAGTTTGGGCAGCAAAAAAGGGCTACCAGTAAAAATATACAAGATGCAGCTGCACACCTAGTAACATCATTTGTGTATGCTGTGCTGACTGTTCAATGAAGGAAGAAGCTCAGCTCCTTATAGCATGGTTTCTGCAGCTTACCAGTTTTTGGCCCTTAAAGTTTCATTCAAATGTATTTTTTTAAACACCATAAAAACAAGGGTGCACATATTCAGGAGTGCGTGATATTTAGACAGAAACAATGATAAGAGATATTAGAACCCAGAGGCTGAACACCACTAACCCCAAATCCCATCATTGAACACAATGCTGAGCTAGTTTATTCCTATCTATGTTACCAGAATGTATTTTCATATATATCATGTTAATATGTTGGTCTTTGTCTTCTGAATGGCAGCTTTCCACGAGGTTTCATTTCACATCCCAAGACCCTATTGTCAAAGATGTATTTAACATTATCCACACATGTACATTTCAGTCTCCCAATTTCCATTAATTTTCTGGGCAGTTTTATTTACATATTCTTCTGTGCAGTTTGCATATCCCACCCACCTCATGTTTTATGATTGCCACCCTAATAATATTATGTGAGGGGTAAAAGACCTGAAACTCCTTAGTATATAATTTCAGTCTTCCTGTTACATTTTCTTAGGAACAAATATTCTGAACAGTTTGTCAGTAATCCTCAGAACATGAACACGTTTCACATCATATAAAATGGGGTAAAGTTTATTTATAATTAATTAATTGATCCAGTTAAATAAATTTTGAATCCTGGGTGCAGCTCAGTGCATTTGTGTGCACTATAATATTAAAAGTATATAAAAAATTCCCCATGTAATGAATTTCTGCCAGCATGGCTAGTCTATGACAGCTTCCTCCATTGTTTCTTATTCTGCCATAAGTCCATTTGTATGTTTGTCAGCTCATTTTCTACCATTTTATATTCCTTCATCCACATGGGTTCTCCACCTTGTCCTCGATTTATTTTAACTTTATGCTATGTGCAAAACAGATTTTTCTTTCATTTCAGGTTAAAACATTATGGCAATTATTAGGTTCCATTACAGAATATTCATGTAGACAACTGGAATATTGACTGGAGAGGTATATGTTGATATGAATATTCCATCCTGTTTGCATTCCTGTCAGGTGTATTTGAGAAAAAACAGTACAAATATCATTCAGGTTTATATCTTATGTACTGGCTACTTACCTGTCCAGTACTGAAGATTCCGTATCATGGAAGTTGTAACATCTACATAGAGATACCTTACATGAAGTTATGTTCAATACTGAAGATTCCGCCTTATGGGAGTTCTGACATCTGCATAGATACCTTACATGGAGTTATGATGAAGAAAAAGTTTATTATTAATTATGTTCCAGTTGTTTGAATAATTGGAGAATAAGAAAATTCCAGTATATCCAGTATTAACTTGTAACTTCTGACTCTCATCCTTTCCCTCCTGCATTCCCTCCCCCCTTTTCAATAAATAAAGTTCTACAAGAAGAAACAAATGAGGAAATGGAAAGATTTGTGCTGGATTTTTATAGAACTCTCTTTTATATACAAATTTTGCATATACTGCCAGAATTAAATAAGGAAGCCTAATTAGTATGTTTTATTTTGTTTCCATACAAGTACTAATTAAACTTAGCAACTTTTGACATGACTTTCAGTTTACTTTGATATTGATTTCAGTATTAACACAACATATAGTTTAAACTTTTGGTTGGTGAAGTTTAGATAGACCCTCAAACAGATATGAATTAGCCCGAAATGTGGATCTTGAAGGGTTATAAAATTAGGTAAGTGTTGTGACACAGCTGAACATTTGTTATTGGAAATAATATGTTTATTTCAAATCTTTAAGAACCACAGACCAGTTAGAAACATTTTGAACAAACTCAGAACATGTATTCCATACCAGAATATTTTTAATCTTGATATATTAAATTTCCTCCAGTGAAGATTTTCTTCAGTTTAGTGTTCAAGAAGCAACATTGTTTCCTGATTTGCCTCTACTCTGAGGTAGATATAGAGTGCACATCAAACACAAAACTGTGTATTGTGAAACACTGCCTTAAAAAAAGTTGCCTTCACCTTTTCAATTATTTCTGTGTTCTTTTGTGTGAGGCAGTGCTATAGCAACACATATATTAGCAAGTGTAATTTTCTTTCCCATTATTAATTTACTTGCATATATTCCATCAGTGGTTATCATCATGACATTGCTGATGTCTCTGGCTAATAAACTGAATGGTGAGGTTGTGTAACAATATATGTTAAATTAATTCCTTTCTTGTCACACATCCATTTGCCTTGGTTGGAAAGTATGATGGTTGAGCTGTGTGGTGTAGTCTGTCTCTCATTGGGTTTAAAAGAAATTTAGCTATAAAGAACATTATCCCTCATGACTGATTTATAGACACAAGAATTTGGGAATTTTTTCTCTCAGTTTTCCCTTGCCAATCACCATTTTATCATCACCCCTGCCCAAACAGGCAGCACATTATCACAATCTAAGTTCTCAGATGGGGCTTCACTTCTGAACTGACATTGGGCTTCCAGTAAGATTTTGCATATACTGCCAGAATTAAATAAGGAAGCCTAATTAGTATGTTTTATTTTGTTTCCATACAAGTACTAATTAAACTTAGCAACTTTTGACATGACTTTCAGTTTACTTTGATATTGATTTCAGTATTAACACAACATATAGTTTAAACTTTTGGTTGGTGAAGTTTAGATAGACCCTCAAACAGATATGAATTAGCCCGAAATGTGGATCTTGAAGGGTTATAAAATTAGGTAAGTGTTGTGACACAGCTGAACATTTGTTATTGGAAATAATATGTTTATTTCAAATCTTTAAGAACCACAGACCAGTTAGAAACATTTTGAACAAACTCAGAACATGTATTCCATACCAGAATATTTTTAATCTTGATATATTAAATTTCCTCCAGTGAAGATTTTCTTCAGTTTAGTGTTCAAGAAGCAACATTGTTTCCTGATTTGCCTCTACTCTGAGGTAGATATAGAGTGCACATCAAACACAAAACTGTGTATTGTGAAACACTGCCTTAAAAAAAGTTGCCTTCACCTTTTCAATTATTTCTGTGTTCTTTTGTGTGAGGCAGTGCTATAGCAACACATATATTAGCAAGTGTAATTTTCTTTCCCATTATTAATTTACTTGCATATATTCCATCAGTGGTTATCATCATGACATTGCTGATGTCTCTGGCTAATAAACTGAATGGTGAGGTTGTGTAACAATATATGTTAAATTAATTCCTTTCTTGTCACACATCCATTTGCCTTGGTTGGAAAGTATGATGGTTGAGCTGTGTGGTGTAGTCTGTCTCTCATTGGGTTTAAAAGAAATTTAGCTATAAAGAACATTATCCCTCATGACTGATTTATAGACACAAGAATTTGGGAATTTTTTCTCTCAGTTTTCCCTTGCCAATCACCATTTTATCATCACCCCTGCCCAAACAGGCAGCACATTATCACAATCTAAGTTCTCAGATGGGGCTTCACTTCTGAACTGACATTGGGCTTCCAGTAAGCATTAACAACAGATTTTTAAAAATTGTAACAGGTTCTTCAATTCTAAAGTTTTGATTTATTATTATTATTACATGCATTCAAAGTAAGGGAAATCAAGAAGTACAGGCTACATGAATAGTCTAAAGTTAAATTTACTTACAAGGCCAAATTACCATAGTATAAATGTTTGATAATTCCATTTATTTATTTATAGCAAACACATTTGATGTAAATGTTACATAGTTTCAATTCATTAATTTCATTATGGTTCCATAAATACAGTGCATTATCTTGCAAAGCTAAACATTTCTGTCACTTCTACTACAGCCAATAACAGCCTAACTTTGGTACAACTTCCAGTTAATCCTGATATAAATCTAGTAGTATCACTCTATAAGAGATGTTGAAAATGTAGACCACACACACACACACACACTATATAATGAAAACAGCTAAAATTTCAGATTCTTCATACAAAAATAAATGCTGGCAGTATCATTAATTACTATACGGATTGGGCCTGTTGACCCATTCTGGGACAGCTGCCCAAGGCAATTTGTCCTTATTAAGTCTTGTGGGGTGCATTTGAATAGTGAGTGACAAGCCCACTGCCTCTGTATAATTTCTACTCAATCCTGATTTGTTTTTCACTCTTAAAAATCCATTGACCTTGGCTGGGTTTGAACCCACGAGCCTTTGGTTCAGTGGCGAGCACGCTAACCACTAGTTCACTGAGGGCAACTGTGCTGGCAGTATAAAGAACTGTATTCATTTAATAGATGAAGCCAAAACTGAATGCTTACTCAACTGAGTGCAACTCATTTCAGCAATTACTGATACAGCTCAGCCTGAGTCATTTATAACTAATATCTTGATTAATTGGAAGAGCTCAGCCTAGGGTAGGCTGATGCTGGTTGATAAGATATGGACAGAAATGTGTAACTTTGTACAACATGCTTATTCACATTGTCTTCCATATATAAATTCTATTTAAAAGCACTGGAATGGATGTATGCACAATAAGGCAACCAGAACATCATAATTTAGTCACTGTAGCCTAATCTTCATATATCCAGGCTTCAGAGGCTGGTTTCCAGGCGATCAGTTCTTTAGGTTCGAACCACAGGTTTATTTCCTTGTTTGCAGCTTCCACCGAGTCTGAACCATGGATGATGTTCCTGAAACATTAATATAATAGGGTTGAAATAATTTCAGAATACGTATGTAGTATTACTTGGGTCATCAACAAATGCCAATACTTTTAAGATTTATATATCATGTAATGACATACAAAGGTGATTATTTGTCAAATAACCCTAACTAATGTCAGTCCTTTCAGTAGTTACACTAATATGGATAACCTTTAATCTCCACTTCAGTACTGTTGCCTCAGAACACTTGTTTAGTCCATCAAATAGTGGTTCAGGAAACTTACAAAAAGAAGTATTGCATCTTCAGTTTCTTGTGACAGGAAATGTAAGGAAAAAATCCATGAAATAGAACCACTTAAAATATGAAAATTTCTTTTGATGACCCAGGATTTAATGCATAAGGCCATTCCACATTTCAGGTCACATGGAATCCCATTGGAGAAGTATGGATTTAATCCAGGTACAATATAAGTGGGATCTGTGTTGCACAAAGTGACAAATGGACATTTCTTTCTTAGTTTACTTTGATTTCTCCCTCTAGACCATTCATGACACTTTATATTCATCTATCTCTACCTCTGAGGTGTGGCAGGCCTGATTAGCTGGCCCATTAACACAACCTCAGTTCATCACCTAACCTATTAGTATAATGATGTTCAGTACGTAAGACTTCAAAATTATGCAAATTTACAAACACAAACGGTATAACTAACTATGACTTTTAACTTTTGTACCTCTTCATTTACAGCATTAATGATAGTATGACACTATTTCAATTTCTCAACTGATATAGCATCATGTAAAATGTAAAGGTAACCATAAATGGTGAAGGTGCAGATTTGGAAGGAACTGATCATGGCCTACTTTAGGATATTATCTCGAACACAGTCGCTCACACACACACACACACACACACACCTTGTGTAATGGAAAATTGTTGTCCAGAAGTCTATATAAGTCTAAATCCTTTTTCTTTGCCACAATAAATGTACATGTAGAATGACGCTCACCTGCCAACTTGGATGCAAAGATCTCCTCTAATGGTTCCTGGGTTAGAATCCTTGGGGTCAGTAGCTCCCAGCATAAATCTACCAGTTTTCACAACATTCAGACCTTCCCATACCTAAAACGACATCAAAATGTCTTTGTTACAATAAAACAACAACATCGCAAATATGTGGTATTCTCTTCTGGAGTTAATGTGGAAACAACTCAGTCACCTCATTCTCCATTCAATAACCAGAATATAAAACTCACCATCGGTACCACAGGTCCAGATGACATATATTTTACTAGACCAGGAAAAAATGGTCTACCGGCTAGGTCGGCATAATGTTTCTTCAACAAGTCTTCTGATGGCTAAAATACCAAATACTAGTATAAGCATTATTGACTTACCCATGTTAAAATAATTGTTAAGGTTACTATATATAACAAAAATACTAGTATTCCACATGGCTATTTACAACTATGGAAAAGGATGACCTTCACATATGTAATCACAATTGACTAGTTCCAACAAACGCAGCCACATATGCAAACACGTGTTCTCCTCTAACCTACCCAGGTAAATTTCAAAGCTACAAGCTTAAATCCTTTTGCTTCAAATCGTTTAATTATTTTGCCAACTAATCCTCTTTGTACACCATCGGGTTTGACCATTATAAAAGTGCGTTCCCTTGCTTCCGCCATCGATTTTGAAAATATTGAGAAAAGTGCTAATACAGAACAAATAACCATCCAATGTCTACAGTAGCAGCTACACAGAGAACAAGTGAGCTATTGTGACGTGGAGCTCTTTCCATTCAGAAATTCCTAAAAACGTGAAATCGATATTAGCGCACAGATGAACTAAATATCCGTGGTTCACTTAGTAAAATATCAACCAGAGATTAATGACGTTCACAGTATGGCAATAAGTATGTGAAGACAATCCTAGCTCAAAAATTTCGTCCGTAACAAAATCGGTTTTCAAAGCAGACACTGTGAGCTGTATGACAGAACATAATGTCTCATAAAAAATGCAATTTCTTAGTACCAACATATGTAACTTCGTAATTTTTTCGCAGTAAAAACATTAGGTAACAAAGGTAGTTTAGGTGTCTGTGATGGTCACAAAGACTATGTAAATTCGCAGGCGCTTTTTATTGATAAGCCATGAATCATAGATAACCAAATGGTGAAAACCAGGCATTGCAAATAGAGTGATAACGTCATTATGTGCAGTCAGGTCTGGTACAGTATCGGTAGATCATTGGTATATGGCTTCCTACAATGAAGCCTGTTCACCTTGTTCTATGTTCTGAGTTCCCAACTTGATCTGGAAACCAAGCTATTAAAGATACTGACTACTGTTTGTGGTCCAGACAAATGTTTGGGTAGTACTATATTGGACCTTGACCACTTTTACTTCACTTTTGAATAAACGTTCATTAAACCTTTCATGTTCCATTATTTAATCTTTGAATTGAAAGCATCAGACACCACGACTACAGTTACATATATTATTGACTTAACAGAAGGAAACTTATAAAGAAGATATAAATGTGTCATTCGGTTCTTGCTGGGAATTTTTGTTTCACATACTACCTCCACGGGGGTGGAAAAGTTGTTTATTTTTCCGTTTGCTTCACAAGTTTTTATCTTTGGTTTGAGAATGAAGGGCAATTTTCTCCCCTCACTACGTTATAAGTACAATCAATAGTACTCCTCCATTGCGGTTCACACGAACGAAAAATGCAGGCCGTGAGACATGTTTCTGCAACACAGTGTTATAGGTTTGTGAGGCATTTCATTCTATGAATCTTGACCTGTCCTCACCTATGTAATCTATGGCCCCGTTTCAATAATTAACTAAATAAATTATTTTTTTCGACTGGACCTGTAATTGTTTGACAATGAAATGTAAATCAGCTGCCACGTTGCACCAGGTCAGTGGAATTTAAGGCCGTGGACCATGTAGTTCTCACACCCCTGAACAGTCGTATTGGTTTCCGTAATGAACAAGCCAAGGAACTCTCGAAGCAACTAATTAGGGCCTGGTTAAGTAGCAAGTCAAATTGGGTTCGAATCCTCTCCAAGAACAGTGCTCGCAAGAGCCACTGAATCAGTTCAGACTCTCATTCCATATTGCTTGAAGACGTTTTCTTAATATCTGTCGACGCCAAGACCTCCGAAGGGTTCCTTCCCCTTCAGGTCTTACTTCTACAAATTTATTTTATTTTTCAACGCTTCTGTGCATGTTACAAGTCCTGCTCGTCTCATTCTCGTGTTGTTCACCCTAATAAATCTGGTGAGAAGTACACATTAATTAAATCAATTGGAAGTATAACTTTCTTTCTTTCTATAATTTCTTGTGAATATCTTAAAAAAAGCATGCACACATATGCGCAACTAAGTGATAAATATGATAGGCATTGGTATTGTGTTTGTTGTTTTATAGTTTAATATTTTGTACATAGAACAACAGCTACACATAGGTCACTTTTAAATTTAATACCGGTGCTAGAAACGAAAGACAAAGATAGCAAGATTCTAGTTTGTTCTCGATGATTCTGGAAAGGGTAACACCCATAGAACGGAAGTTCAATAATATCTAGTCAAAATCAGGATGTGTATTCAACAAATGTATTCTTTATATAGTAAATTTTTATCTTATTTCTCCTTATTGCTAATATTTTCTGTTGAAAATTTTAGAGAGTTCTAAATTTTATTTATTTCAGTATTATTACAAGATCGTAACAAGCTGAAAACAGTTTAATTGACAACAGAAGATTCTAGAACTGACGTCACAGGAAGTACAGTTCAACCTCCAATGAAATATTCCAGAAAAGCCGGTAGATGGTTTTATATAAGGGACAGTTGCTAACGCAGTGCAATCTGTTCCTTGTTACCAGGTGGAAAGTGCTTGTTGTGTGTTTCTGATATAAGTGTAAATTGGTCCTTACAAGGTTGGTGTAACATTTTAATGGAATGTTATATACGTTCTATTGGTTTTGGGGTACAGTTATTAATCGTTATACGCAAAATTAATTTTCTTTTGTGTACGCGTCGGTATCGTGTAATTCAGCCACGTGTAAAACGATAGTTTTTGCATATTAATATTTCAGATGCCAGAAGACGTTCAAATGCAGGATACCAGTGAAGTTGAGACCTTTGCCTTCCAGGCAGAGATTGCTCAGCTTATGTCATTGATCATCAACACTTTCTACTCTAATAAAGAAATCTTTCTACGGGAATTGATTTCGAACTCGTCTGATGTAAGTACAATATACATTCTGTTGCCGATTTGATAGGAATAGATATGTCGGTTTTTATTGTTTTCGTTGAGATTTGAAGTGTAAAGTGTACGAAAAAATGGTGAAAAAGTTGTCTCCTTTTAACCTGAAAATCTCTTTGTTGCAGGCATTGGACAAGATACGTTACGAGTCTTTGACTGATCCTTCCAAGTTGGAGAGTGGAAAGGAATTGTACATTAAGATTGTCCCTAATAAGAATGACCACACACTCACAATTATTGATACGTAAGCATAATCCTAGTACTGTATTTCAAAAGGCATATATTGTATTTTAAAAACCAATCAATTATTGTGTGCCTGTCATTTCAGTTTGAGAAGAGGGTGCTGATTTTATCTGTGTTAGTGAAGGATCCGAATTTTAAAATCTTGAGTAAGACACTAAACTCGGCATTGTTGTGTTCCACAACAATGCCGAGTTTGTTTATAGTTGACATTGTTGATGACGTAATTTATTGACGACTACTAGGGCAGAACGCTCCTTTCAGAGCTCCTCGGAGGGGCTGGTAAAGTTTTTAAAAAGCAACCAACCCCTTTGGGGGGGGGTTTGTGTTTTAAAATTTTGTGTAAGAAACTAAACTAAACCCCCCCCGAATGGAGGGTTAAAACACTTGACCAACCCCTCCGGGGGGGGGGGGTTGCATTTTAAAATCTTAAGTAAGACACTAAACTCGGCATTGTTGTTCCACAACAATGCCGAGTTAGTTTATAGTTGACATTGTTGATGACATCATTTTTTGACGACAAATTGGTTGACGACAACGACTAATCACAAATTTTTATAGTAGATAGATTTAGTAGGTAATAGCAACAATGAAGTTCATTGACACCTTGGAGATTAAAGTTTCAATGACATGTTTCTTTACTGTACCATTTTAGATTAACTTCCCATTACACAGTAATGATGGTGTTCATTTTCTACACTTACTGTTTAGCAGATAATGCTTAAAAACACTGAATATTTTCCCAATTGTGAGATTTTGTGGCCAGCCCTTTCCTGTGATTTCTTAAATCTCAATTTTTGAAGAAGTGGAATGCTGTGTAACTGCACATAATGGAAAGTACTGGGTCTCCAATTTATGAGCTTGCACTGCGTTATCGGCCGCTGCTATTGACGAAGGCGGGACTTCTACGCGTGAGTCACGGGCGAATCAGTTTCGGTGCTGCTAGTAACAACGAACTACGAATATTTCTCGTCACTAATACATGTTATTACATTAATTGTTTTTACCTTACTGTATAAATGTGGTGCTGGTGATGTCTGTCCACACAAATCAATTTTTGGGACAGATTTGAATGGAATTTGGTATGGGTGTTTTATGCCATTGGGGACTGCCTAGATTTGTACTTTCAATTTTCTGCAGTTGGTTATACCATTAAGACAGATGAACAAACTTGAGGTAAAATTGTAACTAGCACCACTTGCATGTAGTAGGGGTGCATTTTTGTGTGGTTAGGTTCTTGGAAAATTCAAAACTGCAGTGATTTCTTTTTAGTGTAAAGTGGTTGCTACATGGAAAACAAATTGATTGCACTCAGTTTAATTCTGTGACCCCTTGCTGAAGAATTATTTGCACGATTAAGTTTGTGTGCCAAAAGAATGCATTTAATATTTTGGACTGGCTGTAAGTAAAGCTTTTGCTGCCGTGTTAGTGACAGGCAAGATTTGGAAGGAAAGTGAAGGTGCCATGTGTCTTCTAATGTGAGGAAGAAAGCTTCCCAGGTGAACAACCTCCTTTGCTGTTGGCTCCTTAATGCTGCTTCAACCATGCATATACCTCTACCCAAAAAAGTTTCCATCAGATTATCATTCCTTTTAGCTAGCCAGGCCTAGCTACAAACTAGTCTAGACTGCTTATTGTTGCCTGCACTAATTTTATAACATGGTGGAATATGTTATAATGTATTTACTAAATACTATTCATTGTTTTTTCCAGTGGAATTGGCATGACAAAGGCTGATCTTGTGAACAACCTTGGGACAATTGCAAAATCTGGTACCAAAGCATTTATGGAAGCGCTGCAGGCAGGTGCTGACATTTCAATGATTGGGCAGTTTGGTGTTGGGTTCTACTCAGCATATCTGGTTGCAGATAAGGTAACTGTAACATCCAAACACAATGATGATGAACAGTATCTGTGGGAGTCCTCAGCTGGTGGCAGCTTCACAATTCGTCCTGATCCTGGTGAACCATTGGGTAGAGGCACAAAGATTATTCTGCATATTAAGGAGGACCAGACAGAATTCTTGGAAGAGAGGAAGATAAAGGAGATAGTCAAAAAGCATTCTCAGTTCATTGGTTATCCGATCAAATTGCTGGTAGAAAAGGAACGGGACAAGGAACTGAGTGATGATGAAGCAGAAGAAGAAAAGGAAAAGAAGGAAGGTGAAGAAGGGGGAGAAGGTGATGAGTCAAAACCAAAGATAGAGGATGTGGGAGAAGACGAAGAGGAAGAAAAGGATAAGAAAAAGAAGAAACGAACTGTTAAGGAAAAATACACCGAAGATGAGGAACTGAACAAGACAAAACCCATCTGGACACGCAACCCTGATGACATTAGCCAGGAGGAGTATGGGGAGTTCTACAAATCCCTAACCAATGATTGGGAAGATCATCTTGCTGTGAAGCACTTCTCCGTTGAGGGTCAGCTGGAGTTCAGAGCCCTTCTGTTCGTGCCACGACGAGCACCATTTGATCTGTTTGAGAACAAGAAACGAAAGAACAACATTAAATTATATGTTCGCAGGGTATTTATAATGGATAACTGTGAAGACTTGATCCCAGAATACCTTAATTTTATTAAAGGTGTAGTTGATAGTGAGGACTTGCCACTTAACATTTCACGAGAGATGTTGCAACAGAACAAGATTTTGAAGGTCATTCGTAAGAACCTGGTAAAGAAATGCTTGGAGCTATTTGAAGAATTGTCTGAGGATCCAGAGAATTACAAGAAATTCTATGAGCAGTTTAGCAAGAATCTGAAACTGGGAATCCATGAAGACAGTTCAAACCGCAAGAAAATCTCAGAATTGCTGCGATACTCTACTTCTGCATCTGGAGATGAGGTTTGTTCCTTGAAGGACTATGTTGCTCGCATGAAGGAGAACCAGAAACACATTTACTTTATCACTGGTGAGAGCAAAGAGCAAGTAGCAAATTCCTCGTTTGTTGAGCGAGTGAAGAAGCGTGGTTTTGAGGTGGTATACATGGTGGAACCCATTGATGAATATGTGGTGCAGCAGATGAAGGAATATGAAGGAAAGCAGTTGGTGTCTGTGACAAAGGAGGGTTTGGAGTTGCCAGAAGATGATGAAGAGAAGAAAAAGCGTGAGGAGGACAAGGCTAGATTTGAATCTCTCTGCAAAGTCATGAAGGACATCCTCGATAAAAAAGTGGAGAAGGTTGTAGTTAGTAACAGGCTAGTGGAATCACCATGCTGCATTGTCACTTCACAGTATGGCTGGACAGCTAATATGGAGCGTATAATGAAGGCACAGGCTCTGCGAGACACATCTACAATGGGCTATATGGCAGCAAAGAAACACTTGGAAATCAATCCTGATCATCCAGTTATGGAAACTCTCCGCCAGAAGGCTGAGGCTGACAAGCACGACAAAGCTGTAAAGGACCTAGTTATGCTTCTCTTCGAGACTGCTCTGCTGTCGTCAGGCTTTGCGCTGGAGGAACCTCAAGTTCATGCAGCCCGCATCTATCGTATGATTAAATTGGGTTTAGGCATTGATGAGGAAGATCCACAGGTTGCTGAAGAAACATCTGCAGATGCAGAAATGCCACCATTGGAAGGAGAAGGTGGAGAAGATGCTTCACGGATGGAGGAAGTGGACTAAACAAGTTTGTGAATATTAAGTGGTTGAATTAATAAAAGAACTTACAAAATATGTTTACAAGTTAAATGGCAGTTTTCCCATTTTTATGTGTTCTCAATTTGAATTGTGTTGTAAATAGACGGTATATTTGTACAATGTACATTGCCATTTCATGTTCATCTTATTTAACTTTCGAGTCATTCCATAGTGCTGTCTCATTGTACATGTGTTCAGAAGTGTCACTAGTTGCACAAGTTCTTGAATAAAAATTTGTCTGTAGATGTGGTTTGTAATTACTGTTCTCAATTGTGCTTTTGGGTATCCAGGTTTAAATTATTTGCATATGTAAGAGTAGTTTTTGCACCCCCCACCCCCCGAAGACAATGAATTTGTCATCTAGACATGGGATAACATTCATTCTGGTTGGTTTGCCAGCTATTGTATGAGAGGAAACTTGGAATTTGTGGAATTTAAATGTTTTATTATGTCTTTAAACTTGGGTCTTGGGAAAGTATTGGGTTTTTCTTAGGGTAATTATAGTTGGAAAAGTTGAGTTTGGTATGGCGGTTGATTTAATGTTACTAATGTAAAGTATTTAGAATGAAAAAACTTATGATCCAAGTAGACTTTCATATCTTTATTCTTTGGCAGATTTTAGTTGGATTTGGAATGTAGTTATGTATTTCAGACAAAAGAAATGCCCAATAGGTTATTTGCTTATGGCTGTTTGGACTAGTGATTTTAGTTGTGGGAAGTAGAAAAATTTGGTTGGAGGTGAATTGCATGTTTCATCACTCTTTTAGCATCATGTTACTACCCATAATAGGTGTTTGGGGCTGGAATTGTAACTTGCTAAGAAGGTACTGGAATGATTTTCAGCCAAGTGGAGGAGAGGTGTTGTGATGAAAAATTAGGATAGCGTTCAAAGGGAATTGGATTCATACAAACACTGTCTGGAGGTCTTATTTTGTATTTTTATTTATGTGGTGGCCTGGCCTGAAATTTAAATTGGCATAATCAATATAGCACAATTGCATATAAAGAGGTTAAGTATACAGAACAGCTTTATTTCTCTGTACTCCCAGATGATCTGCGCACCACACGGAACCACGTGGTGTAGGCTACACACATTGTTCTCAGGTGGCAGCACAATCTAGAGAATTGAAGTATGTAGTCCACTACAGGTGCTGCCATCTACACCACTCGTGTTAAACGTTAGAAATTAATTCTAGAAACCGCCTGTTGGAATTTAGTGTACTATGGTAGTGTTTAATCTGGCTATTGAGAAAATAAAAAATATGGGATTTGTTTCCGGAGTTAGTGTCCGGTGCATTTAATGAGAGCAGCTTGGGCCGAGGCCACGGCCTTTTCATATCTGTGGGTGATGTGACTGTCTCATTGACATGGAATGTAAGACTTTATTTTTCCTTCGTCGTGAACTTTTTTCTGTCTAGCTATTTGACAGGTTGCTTGAAATTGCTACTAAGAAGATGGCCGTCTTATGCGTTGTACTGCCGAGCAGTCTTGTAGAAATTTACTAACAATTCTGAGGTCCTACGGGACTACACCTCGCTACAATTCCATACTCTCCGCCGCGAGAACCTCAAATCCTACGAAATGACTTCTGATTCATAACCTAAACAGCCTTTCAAGGAACTCCTGCCAATTAACAACCGATTTCCGAAGGAAAAGCACAAATTCTCTTCTGATAAGAAAGGTAGTAATGCATTCTAATAACGAACTTCATTGCTTCTTTGTTATTTTTTTTACACATTTACAAGAAACATAGGCAAGTAAGTAATCAGATTTTATTTTAATTATTTGTAGAAAATTGTGACATTTCGTTTCTGATTTGTTAGTATCATATAAATATTCTTAATTATTCCACAAGTAGTTTTCTTGATGCTTCAGTACCAATTAGATGGGGCATAGGACCTGAAAGTTTCCATTGGTATTTAAGGAACCCAGAAGTGTTCCTTGATCCTATCAGTTTCAGAAACATTGAAGAAACTTATTAATCGCCTTTAACACTTCAAAACACAAAGCTAATCTGAACATCGTTTAAAAATTGAGCCCTTACCTCAAAGAAAATACATTGCATCTCCGTTACAAAAATCAATTGGTTAATGCTGTTTGGGGAAGTTAGTCTGAGACAGAGTGGAGGCGAGTGACGAGCATCACGTTCCGGCTGGTTTATCTCCAGAGTAAGGTCCCTCAGTACTCATTCTGCCACCCTCCAGTCTAGACGTTTTTGTTAAACGTTGCATATCTTGCAAAGAGAATAAGCATACCATTTACTTTGATGTGGCGGATGTTTCCCAGAACCCAGGTCGCAGGGCTGAATGCCTATAGAAATAAAGCTGTCCATGGGTCTTAACTGATCTTCAGGCAACGGCACGGCACACGTGTGCTGGTCTCTTTTGCAATTGCTCGTCTAGTAGCCACAGCGTCACAATTGAGAACCTAGTGATCGTTTTGCTTCCCCGCCTTTATTAAACCCGAAGGTTCATCATTGTGTTCACAACAGCTTGCCACCGGATTAAGTCCTGAGTGAATGGAATCCAATCCACGCCTTATTTCTATTTTCAGGTTTTGTAGGCCTGTGCATTTCTCATTTTCTCCATCTGCCTGTTTCTGAGCAGGGTTTAGTGAGCAAGACAAATGAAACTTGTGGGTTCTATAAAATCAGGGGATAATGATACCATTAATTTAGTTAGTAAATAATAAATATTAAAATTGCTGTCATTACGTTTTTGCTTATTTGATGACCCAATCACTGTTTTGTCAGATAATAACAAGATGGTAAAGTTGCGTCATATTGTGATATAATAAGTATATATTAAATTTTGTCCGTCTAATCACAATAATTCTTATTAAATATTAAAATATTACAATAATTAACATTTAAAATATTAAATGATGTTCTTTATCGAAATATTCGATTTACATTAGACCATCATTTTTCTCATGTTTCACGACATGTTTCAGTTCCTAAAAGAACCATCCTCAGGTGTATATAATTATATAAAGCTTCAAAACGATAAATAATTCAAATACAATTTTCATACATTATGCTAGCGTACATTTTTATCATAGATAATAACAAGTTCAACAATCAATGGCCTGATTACAGTATCCGAAACTAGACAGTGTAGTTTCGTCTATCATCGCCTCAAAACCAAGAGAAAGTCCTTTGATAGTCTCATGACCGTGAAAACTGAAGGTCGGTTCTGTGATAGGGATAGGAGGTAGAGAATATAATGACCGATACAAATGTTTATAAATAAAAGGAAAACTAAAATCCAATGAGGATGATAGCGCGTGACCTAGATGTTTCCGGCTACACGTGTGCTAGCTGGGAAGACAATAACACCGCATCTCTCTTTCTCACTCGTGCCCCGTGTTTTGGTGCCTTCAGGAGGTCAACGACCTCTCTGCCGTTACAATCAATGCGCTGCAGAGACGGGCGGTTCTCCGTTACTCTAGAACCTCTGCTTCCTCCATCAGAGCCTGATTGTGGGTTACATAGGGACAGAAAGGGACCAGTTAATTTTATCCATTGCAATTGTTTATCTCGAATGAGAATTGGTTTCGTCATATCACTGGTACTCGGTAAGAAGAGATGAAATAAAACAATCATCGTTAAGTCCTTTTTGCCGAGAATCCGGTAATGGATGTTTGAAGAACGTACGTTTTTCCTTTCGGGCTTTTTTTTCTTTTTGCGGGATTTAAAACGAATTTATGTTCAGCTCTCTATTGAAACTCTGGAGGAAAGCATGTTGGATTGCGTATGCAGGTAGATCATAAACATTCTTACAGATTTTGTAGTAAACAGTTGTTGTACCTGTGCGTCGACGTTAGAAACATCTCTGAAAACTTAATGCATTAACTTGATCGGATATACGTTGTGTTTGTAGTAGTTTAAGGAACACAGGTGTCGGAATTTCTTTCCAGAATTGATTTGGAGTGTCAGATCCAGTAGCAAAGGTCGGGAACGCGCGAAGGACATTGACAGCAAACAAAGTAATGAAATCCTGATGTGCTGTTAGTAATAAATATATAAATAGTACTGAGATGACACACGCGCTCAAGCTGCAGCCTGACCCAGTTTCTAGTAGCCTGGCACGCGCCTGTAGGATTCTTCGGCAGCAAGGAGATTCATATCTCACAAAGGCTCTGGAACAGGCTTTCCTGTTGAGCGTTTCGCATAACGAACTATGAAAAACACTAAGTTTTGAGACATCTGTTCAAAGGTTTCTTTCACCAAAATTTGTTAACTTACGGTTTCATTTTCGTTATCCTAGAATCCGGTTTTGTAGCATTTTTCCCAATTTATTTATGGATTTTTGGATATAATCTACACCAAATTTGATTCCGTAAGCAGAACGAAAATATCCTCTCGTCTCTACGTCCTAATATGTCCTGTTGTATCGACACGTCCTCATCACAGACTTCATGAAACCCTTATTTAAATTATTTTGGACCAAAACCATTTTTTTTTTTTTGGAAGACGCTGAACAGAAAAATGTTTATAGAAGACCGATAGTCACGAACGTTTTCATAGATCTTAGGCTAGGACTAAGTTCAAGGAGATGGACGGTAGTGTTTCTCCAACCGGTGTTTTAATATCAACGTTTAAACTTTCAACAGTCGTCCATACAATACCGTGGTTACAGTTTGTTCATCTTTGTTTTATCTCCTCATCAGCCGGTGATGCTGTTTCCCTATTAAACTGACGTGATTTCGATGTTTCAAAGTTATTTATGTTTGATTTGTTCTGTGATCTTTAAGAATACCCATTCTAATCCTAATGTTAATTATTTAAACCCTATTATACCCGGCCATGAAATGTTGCTATATGTTAATTGATTTTCTACGAATAATTCATATGACGAAAAAGCCTTGGTGTCGCCTGAGCCAAGGTTCGAATTCAGGATTGCAGTTCCGAGGCAACGAGATGGAGGCTGCTCCATCTCCACGTGCTAGCGGTCTGCTGCAGATCGATATGGAAAGCCTGTTGCAGTGTCGTACTGGCTGGTCCGCAGTTCGCACCCTAGACTGCGTTATTTACCGACATTTTTTTTAATAAATACTCCTTTTTCTCTCTTCAGCTCCGTTCATTCCTTCTTTCTCTGCTGATACTTCTACCCTGATTCCTTGTCTTCTAACCTGCGTCTCATAACCTAATCCTACTTTTGTTTTCATTTTTCACTTTTATCACACCTTATTCTTGCCCATTTGTTCTTCTTTCTCGCAAGATCACTCTAATTCTTTCCTTCCC